CACTTCGCCGGGACCGCTCACGCTTTCGGTTTCTCCCCGAGTCAGAGGCGCCGCCCAAGAGACCCTGGGTTGGCGCCGGACGCAGCTGCTTCTCCGCGTTTGCCTGTCGGTCTTTGTGTGTGTGTCTGTGTTTGTCTGGCTGTGTCCGAGCCTGCCTCCACTTCTAGAACTTAGTTTCCTGGACACCGACCCCTCGCGATCTCAAGCACCTTTCCCATGGCAGGTAAGTGTGCGCACGGCCGAGGGTCTCCGTTATCCCCCCACGTATTGGCGAGCCGGCGTGTAACACATCCTCCGGGAATGTGCTCGGACTGGCTGTGTGCGGCCCCTCCCTTCCTCCCCCAGCCGCCGCCCTTCTCCCGGGTCCCATCTTTCTCAGTTTCTTCCCACCGCATTCTCCGGCTCCTTGACAGAGGGGCGGGGGACGAGGCCGTGGGTCTCACGATGATTTACTTCTGTCCTGCCACAGGCTATGTGCCCCCCAAAGGCTATGCCCCTTCGCCCCCACCTCCCTACCCTGTGACCGCCGGGTATCCCGAGCCAGCACCTCATCCCGGGCCCGATCCGGGGCTCGGGCAGGTACCGGTGCCCGCCCCAGCTCCCGGCTTTTCTCTCTACCCCTCACCGGGCCCTGGAGCCCAGGGACCTGCTGCTGCCCTCTTGCCACTGCCAGGGGTGCCTCCTGGCCTGGAATTCCTGGTTCAGGTGGGTAGGAGGGAAGGTTGATAGGGAGGGTGGCAGGGAAGTACCCTCAGTGGCCCAAGTCTGCTAACTGATATCTGCTTGGTCCCTACTCTCTTCAGATGGATCAGATCTTGATTCACCAGAAGACTGAGCCAGTGGAATGTGAGTGAAAGAAATAGTTTGGGTGTGGTGGACACAGATAGTGGGCTCTGCGCAGCTCTGAGCCTCGGTGTGTCATCCCTCCATAGCGTTTCTAGGCTGGGAGATATGTAATCGCTATGAACTGCGCTCAGGGGCTGGACAACCCCTGGGCCAGGCGGCGGAGGAGAGCAGCTTCTGTGCCCGGCTGTGCTGTGGCCCCCAGCGGCCTCTGCGTGTTCGCATAGTGGATCCTGGGGACCGAGAGGTGCTGCGCCTGCTCCGTCCTCTCCATTGTGGATGCAGCTGCTGCCCATGTGACCTCCAGGAGGTGAGGAGGTGGCTGGGATCATGAGGACCCCAGATCCAAGTTGCAGCTTGGGTGGGAATGGGCAGAGAGAATGAGAAATCCTGAGGGGAGATGAGATGGGCGATAGAAGAGGACTGATGCGTGCTTGGGCCAGAGTGCCTTTGGCAGTGACTGTCTGCCTCCCGTTCCAGATGGAAGTTCAAGCTCCACCCGGGACCACCATCGGCCATATCCTACAGACCTGGCATCCTTTCCTTCCCAAGTTCTCTATCCAGGATGTGGATCGCCAGACTATCCTACGAGTAGTGGGTCCCTGCTGGACCTGTGGCTGTGGCACAGACACCAACTTCGAGGTATCAGGAATAAAGGAAGTTTCCTGGGGCCTTTAGAAACAATGATGGTCTATGAGGCAGGATGGTCAACACAGAGATCAAGACCCTGAACTCATCACTCTTCACCCAGTGTAATCTTCCCACATATTCACTGTGCAGATATATAGCACGGCCCCTGATCTGATCTAAGCAGGGCAAAGGGTTTCTTCTTTGTTTTAGGGCCACACCCCACTGTGCTCAAGGCTTACTCCTGGCTCTGCACTCAGGGACCACTCGGTCTCGGGGGACCATATGGGGTGCCCGGGATCAAACCCGGGTCAGCTGCATGCAAGGCAAGCACCTATTCACTGTACTATCACAACTGCCCCAAGAGGATTTCTTCTTAAAGGCCAATTCTGATTGTTACCTGCAGCCCTATGTTGAGGGTCATCCTGGATTTTGGGTGGATGGTTGTTGTTTTCTGCTGTAGGCTGGGCCTATGTGGCTGCTACGCATGTTTCTGAAGCAAGCTGAATTTAGCTCCTCAACGTCTTGTGAATTTCTCTGCCAACTACATGGCCCCTTCACCCTGAAATCCTGGTGCTATCCTCACTGTGTATTCTACCGCCACCTTGAGCCTTGGAAAATCTAAGTGGTTCAAGTGTCAAGTGAGGGATAGGAGGCATCTTGATTTCTAGAAATTAGTCACCTCCATTGAGTTATTTTAGGGTAGTTATTTGTACAAGTAAGGGAGAAACAGGTATGATTCAGTAGACTTTCCCAGGCTTCTTGTTGCCCTGTGTATAGTTACTTTTAAAGACTGAGTCACCTTTGTAGCCGGAGGGAGATACATCACCTTTGTTCTCTGATGGAAACTTGTTGGGAAATAGCTAATTGGGTGACCCTGGGTGCGAATGTGTAGACTCTGGGCCAGGCTCTTTTTAGATTTATGAATAATCCATAATTGGGGTATACGCTTGGTCCCACAGGACTGGCTGGGAGAAACCTGTTTAGCTTGGTAGAAAAGTCCCGTAGGACCATGGGGGAAGGGATGAGAAGGACATCAGAGGAAACTACTCTCGTCTTAGCTACTGCGGAATGAGCATAGGAAAAGACAGGCAATACTGTGAATTACCATGCATATTACCACGGGCTATTGGTGCTGGGCCCATAGAGCCCTATCGCCTTTACGGACCACTGTTGCGATCCCCAGTTCCCACTCTATGACATTGGGTCAGACTCCCTCTAGATGTGGCTTGTATTCAGTGCCAGTCAGGACTATTGCATCTTAGCTCTGTAGGGGAAAGGTAGCCCGTTGGTTAGATATAGCCTTCTAGGACCCTGGCTGTCTGCAGTCTCCCCTGCCAAGCTTTGTTTTCTCTTCTTGTTGTCAATGTTGGCTTTTGTTTTTTGGGCCACACTTGGGTGCTCAGGGTGTTTTTTGGCTCTGCACTCGGGGATCATTCCTATTGGTGCTTCGAGGATCATATGGGGCACCAGAGACTGAACTAGAGTCAGTGGGCAGAACGTCTGCCCTGCCTGTAATTCTATTGCTCTGATGTCTACTGGAACAAACTGCACCAACCGTGGGTGGCAGGGACTTTGGTAACCAAAACAACTCTAGACTGTCCTCGTCCAGTTCTTTCACTGCTGATGTTCAATTGTCACACATGGCCTTTCAGGAACAGATCCGAGAGGCTGAAGGTAGAGTTCGGGAGGTAGAGCACTTGCCTTGCATGCGTCTGTGGCAGCTGAAACACCGGTCTGTTCCTTGAGCACTTCCAGGAGTCATTCCTGAGCACAGTACCAGGAACCCTAAGCACTGCCAAGTGGCCCCTCCCCTCCGAAAAAGGAGATCTGAGTCCTGATTTTTGCTGTATACTCACAGTGTGGCCTCTGTTTCCCCAGATGTCACATGGAAACCCAAGACCTTTAGGAAAGAAAGTCTGCTCAGTTCATCCGTGATGATTCCAGGGCTGAACCTGGGAAGTAGGTGACAAAAGTCACATCCTCCCAAAGTCGAGTCCTTTCTTTTCTCTCCCTGCTGTCCTGACAGGTGAAGACTCCAGATGAATCCCGCAGCGTAGGTCGAATCAGCAAGCAGTGGGGAGGTCTGCTCCGAGAAACCCTTACAGATGCTGACGACTTTGGCCTGCAGTTCCCGTTGGATCTGGACGTGAGGGTGAAGGCTGTGCTGCTGGGCGCCACCTTCCTCATTGTGAGTCGCTGTCTCCACCGCATCCTCCTGCTCATGAGGGACAGGGACGTGTCTCATGCGGAGAAGTGGGGAGGGCGGTTCAAGTTTGGCCAGCCAGATCTTCTGTTGACAATACTCTTCCTCATAGGACTACATGTTTTTCGAGAAGCGAGGCGGCACCGGGCCCTCTGCCATTACGAGTTAGACCCACCACCCAAGGGTGAGGACACCATCACCTCAACTAGAATTCAAGATGGTTGCTTGCCACAGCCAGACACCCTCTTCAGAGGAGCCCCTTCCCGCCATGTACACCAGGGAACAGACAGGGATGCCTGAGGAAGTGGGGGTCCTGGTGCCCCATCTCTCCCCTCCTCCTGACCTCTTTCGCCTGTGGTCTGCATAGAAGGGCGTGCATGGGAGCCCTTCCCCTGCCTCCACCTCCAGCAGTCCTCCAGCATACAAGTATATCAAAGCTTCCAAACTTTGCCAATCCACTTCCTCCCACCCCTTTTCAGGGCCTCTGCTCTAGAGAAGACCTTTGGAACCTAGGACTGGGGTTCTACAACAGGGCAGGGGACGTGGGGGGATAAGCGTACCAAAGATGGCAGATGTCATCCTTTTCCTTGCATCGGCTTGGACAATTCAGCTTCAGACCACGCTGAGGGGATCCTCGCCTCCCCAACAACAGCTACAGGCTGAAGCCCCGGTGCCAACCTACTTCCCCCCTTGGGGCCAGCCCACAGCTAGTGCTTGCTGTAACTTTTGTGCCTTAACCATCCCTTCCTTCCCTCGCCCTAGGAAGGGGCCTGTGTATCTTTGTATGTTGTATTCATATAAACTTTGTAACTTTTTTTTTGACACTGGAAGAAGTATACAATGGGGGAGGGTAGACAAAAGAGCTGGTGTAGGAAGAAATAAAGGGAAATATGACAGATGAGCTAAGGAGGGACCGGCCCATCTCATAATCCATACTCCCAGGTGTCCTTGAGTCCAAGAAAGTTACTTTCACCATTCACGATGGCCCAGGACCACACCAAGGCAGTTTAGCCATGAGTTCCAAGCCATTATCCAAGAGGGCTGCTCCCAGAGTCCCGTGGGACAGCTGAGGGCAGTTCAGCTTGGCTACTCTTATGGTCCAGTATTGCTGCTTGGTCCTGAGTAGGAGACTCTTGTGAGTTTGATGTGAAGGGGCTGTATTCCTCCAAGTCTTCTTCTTCTTTGGGAGTGGTAGGTAACATGAACAATCCTTCTCTGAGCCAGCCAGGGGGTCTCGGGCCCTCAGAGACTAAGGTTCATCAGTACCTGATGCTCCTATACCTGACTACAGTTTTCCCCGGGTGGGAAGGTCTGCTCTGTCAGGACCTTGCTGTGGTGCTGCTTAAGTCCCTTGCAGGTTCTGCATGGCCGTGATTTCCTTTCCTAGTGCTCATGCCTAAGGCAGCAGAGTTCAGGGCCGAGCCAGGACATAGCGACTGGCAGCGGAGAGGTCCCAGTGGTAATGCTCCAGGATGCGCCAGCAGTCAGCTTTCGACCGGGTGCTCAGGTGGAAGAGCTGGTCCACCTGCAGAGGCAGGAGAGTGGTGGCCAGAGGGTGGGGGCAGGGGGAGGCAGGGGGGACTATAGGAGAAGGTTCTGGCTTTACCTTAAGGTTCTGAATGGCAGACGCCACATCTCCCCTGGTGGCCCTGAGCGCTGACAGGCACTCCTGGTGGGTGACTCCATGCACGTTCAGCTCCACCTGAGGGAGACAAAGCCTCGTGTCTGTCCCTACCCCCATCTGGTGTGCCTCAAGGACACTAGGCCTCTTACCTCTGCAATTCTCCTCTGTAACTCAGAGTCAGGCAAGGGGCCTCCCGAGGGAACAGTGGCCTTGCTGGCTCTTGGTGCTCTCTTGGGGTGACTCTGTGCAAATTCTTGTTTGAGGCAAGGAGGTCGTTCTCTACTGGTTGGGCTGGCCTGGTGAGAAGAGTTGGCGGCAGCGAAAGTAGGGCAGGGTGGCAGGCCTGATGGCTTCTGGGGCACAGCCCTGGGATGCCGAAGTTCAGGGGGGCTTGAGCCACCCCCTGTGGGGCGGGGACCCAGGGACAGAACCGACTCCAGACTCTTAGAAATGCCTGCACAGTTGAGAAAGAAACAACCTGAGAGGAAGCTAGATGTGAGGCCTTGCCTTCTCCCCATTCGGTCTGTCTGTCCTTGGGCTGAGCCTTGTGCCGGATAGGACACGAGACACGTGTGGACAGATGCCAAGGACCGGGACCACAGCGCTGCCTGGGAGCTGCTGTTCGGTCGAGGAGGCAGATCTTTCATTTATTTATATTTTGGGGTTTTGGGCCACACCTGGAGGTGCTTAGGGTTTACTCCTGGCTCAGTCCTCAGGGATCACTCCAGGCAGGACTTAGGGGTGCCACATGGGGTGCCAGGGAAATCCAGGTTGGCCGCATAATAAGGCAAGTGTTGGGTGTCAGCAGGCAGAGCCGGGGCAGGACTCATGCCAAGATGCGGAGTCAGGATGGAGGGGCAGATTTGAGGTGCTTCTTGCCCTCTGTGAAGACCCAGGGGGATGTCCCTACCGCCATACAGACCTTTCATCCCCTTCAAGGCCATATTTCTTCTCTGGCCCTGGGTCTGAGGTACTTCCTGAAGCTTTGCCTTTGCTCGGTCCCCCCTATCGGAAAGCGATCCAATTCATTCTTCATACCCCATGCCCACGTCCACCCCTACCCGACGTAGCCATTTCCCCTCCCCCCAAAAATATCTCTGGGCTTCCCAGACGGACTGAGACCCCGAATAGTAGCCCCAGCTGGGGGGGGGGGGAGTTCAGCCCCTCCCCTCCAACATCACACCGGCCCCCTCCCCCTTCCCAGTGAAGTTGCTGCACTTAGTGGGACCCCCCAAGCCCACTTTGTGCCCACTCTTCAGGTCCTCACCTCTCTGTGCTTCCCCGGCGTTGCTCTCCCTGGCCAGGGCTGCTTCTGAGGGCTGGGCGGCTGGCTGGGAAGTCCCTGGACTCTGCCAGCGTCACTGCCGAGGCTGGGAAGCTGCCCACTTTGAGAGTGCGACCATTTTGGCCCTTCCAGGTTGTGGAATCGGCACTGTGAAAAGGGGTGCTTGGTGAAAGGGGGGAGGTCCAAGAGGATGTGGGGCTGCTTCTGACTGGAGGAAGGGAAGCCTTTTCCACGTGCCGAGGTGATGGGAGCCAGCTGAGGCTCTGGCTGGGAGGCCAGTCTTCTGTGGGAACTGGTGGGGGGCGGGGTAAAGCTGAGGCAGAAGAGCAGCATTGAAGGAGCTGAGAGGGAACCGGGCCAAGTGGAGTGGGAGGGAGTTTCGTCCCGTGGCAGGCGCAAGGGCTCTCACCTGCCCTCAATGATGGTGACAGGGTCACCAGGCTCCATCCTCAGGGCACCTGGCTCTGTGACTTCTTTGACACAGCGTCCCTCAGGAGGCCAGGCCTGCAGAGATGGGATTAAAAGGGGAGCAGCCCTGTGGTGTGAATCAGAAGGGTACTGTCACAAGAGCAGGAAAGACTACGCACCCCTCCTTCAAACCCGTACCTGGTAAGGCCTCTGTCCTGGCCCAGGATGGGAATTGTCCCTGTCCCCAAGTTGTAATCCAGTTGGGGGAGCTAGACCTAGATTTCATACCGAGCTAGATCCCAGTCAGAGGTAAGACAGCAACAAAGATGGGGGTGTTGTCTCTGCCTAAGGTGCGATGGGGCCCTTTCACTCCACACTCAAGCCTGCCAGACCTGAGGCTGACATTCCTGCCCAACGCCACGACCTTGGCACTTCTCCAGGTCTCTTTATCTGTTTTGCCTCTCACCACTGTTGTCTGCCCAGCCTTCCCTCCATCGCTTTCTGATCTTCTGTATCACACATGATAAGGAGCAAGTTGGTTTGTCACAGCCTTGCTGAAAACCCTTTCTATAAGTTCCCAGGCCCCTTTGGAGTAAAAACTGAATTTCTTCTGAGTAGCTTGGAGCTTAGGGTCATTCCTGGCAGTTTGGTGCCTGTGATCCAACCCAGGGTGCCTACTTGCAAAACAGCACTCCAGCCCATTGAGTTATCTCTCCAAGACTAAACTCTTAGGCAATAGTAAGGGAAAGAGAGAGTACAAAGGTTAAGCAAGGCACTTTGCCTAGGTTGTGGCTGCAGCTCTGAGCCTGGCTTGAGGCCAGATACATGTGAGGTCCCCTGAGCAGCTCCAGGCATGGCTCTGAGCATATTGCCAGTTATATGCCTTGAGCACCAAGGGTGTGACACCCCCCCCCCAAAAAGTAGGCCATAGTGATTGAGGACAGCCCTAAAATTAGATTGACTGTCAAACTTTTATACACTTGTGGATGGGTACCAGTCCATTTGTTGAAAATTAGTGATTCTTTTAAATGGTTTTAACTGTCCCTCTGTGTAAAATAGTAATGACCTCATTTCATTGTTGGTGGATTAAATCAATGAATTCGCATAAGAATATATAAGGGACTAAAGGGCCAGAGATAAGAGTACAGAGGGGCAAGGCCTGTCTTGCATGCAGCCAACTTAGATTGTTGGTCCCTGGCACGCATATTGGTCTCTGAGTACCACCAGGAGCGATCCCTAAGGGCAAAGTCAGGAGTAAGTCCTGAGCACAGCTGGGTATGTTCAGAAACTGAAAGCAAAACCAAACTAAACAATTTATGGAGGCCAAAGCAATAGTACAGCAGGCAGGGTACTTGCCCTCCATGCAGCTGACCAAGGCTCAATTCCCAGAACCCCAAATGGTTCCTGAGCCACTTGGGGTGGCTTAGGGGTCACCGGAGCTTAGGGGCCCTTGAGCACAGAATAAGCTATGCTCTGAGTATAGGCAGGTTACAGGGATAAAGGTGCATGTCTTGCATTCCACTGACCCTGGATCTATCCCCAGCACCACAAGGTTTCCTCAGCATTACTGGGCATAGTCCCGGAGGCCCCTGAGCACTCCCGGAGGCCCCTGAGCACTGAGGGCCAGATAACCCCCAGCACCGCAGGGCACAATAGATACCACATCCTTAGGCCCTTACACTGAACTGGCTGCTGAGAATTCCAGGTTGGGGTCCAAGCCCCCTGAGCACCTCTCAGGAGCCCCTTCTGACCCCCCCCCCAAAAAGAGAACGTATAAAATTCTTCTTTTGTTGTTGTCTTGTGTTTGGGCCATACCTGGTGATGCTCAGGAGTTCCTCCTGATTCTACTGTTACTGTCACTATCACTGTCCTCCCGCTGTTCGTGAATTTGTTTGAGCGGGCCCAGTAATGTCTCCGTTGTGACACTTGTTACTGTCTTTGGCATACTGAATACATCATGGGTAGCTTGCCAGGCTTTGCCATGGATAGCACAGCAGGTAGAGCATTTGCCTTGCACATGGCCGACCTGACTCTACACTCAGGAATTATTCCTGGCTCGGAGGACCAAATAGGATGCCTGGGAACAAACGCGAGCAACCACATGCAGGGCAAGTGCCCCACCCTCTGTCCTATTTCTCCAGCTTCTGCATTATTGTACACAGACCCAATGAGAGAGCCCAGTGGGCTGGAGTCAAGAGCAGCCCCGAACACTGAGCGAGCATGGCCATATGGGGTCCAAAACCAAAAACATGGTGGTGTATGTTAGCGCTGGTTCTTCATCCTGCCTTTACATTCCTGCAAGGAGCAGCCTTGTACACCTCTGCCACCGAAGTTACTTGTATTTCCCCCTTTCTGAAATTTCTCATATATCCACTGCAACCCGCTGCTCTCTGTTCCCCCTTTTCTAAGCCCAGCTCTAGCCCCAGGTCTGTGGTGCTCTGCCTCTGCTGGTAGGGTCTGAATCTGTTCCAGTTAAAGCCAGGCCCTGTAAGGTCAGAGCAATAGTACAGCAAGTCAGGGGCTTGCCTTGCACATGGCCAGTCTGGTGTTTCCTGGTACCACGTGGTTGGTCACCCAAGTCCCAACAGGAGTGATCACTGAGTGCAGAGCCAGGAGTAAGTCCTGAGCACCCTTGGGTGTGCCCCATCCCTCACCCCCCCAGAAAAAGCCAGGTCCCAGATCAGTATGTCAGTCTTTGCATGAAACCCTGGGAGACAGAATGGAGGGAAGAATCGAATGTAGCTGGGGAAACGGGTCCCCTACCTCTTGGAGCAACTCCTCCAGGTAGGAAAAGCTAGGCCGGTCGGCAGGATGGAGGGCCCAGCAACGCCGTGCGAGGGCATAGAGGGCCCTGGAGCACAGGGGAGGCCTGGGGAGCCGAGCTCGTTCCTTTTCCAGCCGCTGTAGGATGAGATAAGGTGGGACCCCAGCCCAAGGCTCCTCACCCCCGGAGAACATCTCCCATAGCGTCACCCCAAACATCCACACATCTGAAGCAGTGGAGAAAGCTCCGTGGCGCAGACTTTCCGGAGCACACCTGCACGAGTCAAGGGGGGGCAGCACATGAGGCCTCCAGGGCACACACCTGCCGCTGAGCATCACCCCTTCATACCGGCAGGCCAGTCCTTCCGTGTCTTTCCAGACCCCCTACTTCTGTTCCAGCATCCCTCACAGGACCAGCCCCTCAGCTGCCCGTCTCCTGCGCCATCCCCATCCTCACCAGGCAAAGGGGATCCGGCGAGGCCCGCCCATGACATAGCGTCCCTGGGCGCCGCCCAGTGGCCGCACCAATCCAAAATCGGCCACCTTGATGGTGTGTGGTGAAGCCAGCAACAGGTTTCTCGTTGCAAGATCTCGGTGCACCAGTCCGCGGGCCCCGAGGTACACCATGGCCCCTGCGAGCTGCCGCAGGTAACGGCACAGTAGGGTCACTGGCAGCGGGGGTGTAGGGGCCGGCGTGGTCAGGCGTGCGTGGAGGGAGCCCAGTGGAGCCAGCTCCATCACCTGCAGGAGCATGGGGCACCAACACATGAGGACGTTCCATCCCCCCACTTTCCTGTCACACATGGCCAGGGGTCCGGGGGCAGTTTGGGGCGTTGGTGTCTGAATCTGCTCACCATCTGCAGAGGCTGGCCCAATACGAGGCCATGCAGACGCAACACATTTGGATGCTCCAAGTTCATCATGATTGATACCTCTCGCAGGAAGTCCCCCAGCTCTGTGCCCACGGGGCCTTCAGGACCAATCCTGAGGGACTTGATGGCCACTGGAATCTGGAGGTGAGGAGGAAAAGCTCGTCAGGTTTCCAGGGTTTGGCTATGCCCGGGCCAGAGCAGAGAGGATACTTGGAACAGAGGGAGAGTAGGTCTGAAAATCCAAACAGGTTCCCAGATACTCACACTCTGGCCACTGGGCAGCTTCCAGAGCCCTCCATGCACCACCCCGAAGCAGCCAGAGCCCAGCAACTCCCCCCTGCACACAGCGCCATCCGGGATCAGACACTTGAGTCCCCCCTCCAGCTCTGGGAGGGACCCGGGGTTGTCTGCGAGGGAGGAGGTCTCCTTCTGTTCAGGGGCAAAGCCCCCAAGGATCTGAAACATGAACCGGAAATCAGATGTGAGGAGCTCTGCCAGTTCCTCCCTTGAGCCCCCACCCCCTGGGGCTAAGCTGCCCCCCTTTTCTTTGGCTTTTTTGGGTCACACCCAGCGATGCACAGGGGTTACTCATGGCTCTGCACTCAGGAACTACTCTTGGTGGTGTTCAGGGGACCATATGGGATGCTGGGAATTGAACACGGGTTGGCCACATGCAAGGCAAACGCCCTACCCGCTGCGTTATCACTCCAGCCCCTAAGGTGCCCTTTAAGCTTCTCACAGGCACCCCAAAATACTGACCTTGTAGACCCAGTTCTTGGGCTTGTGCCCTGCACGGTGCCTCTTCAGCGCTTCAGCCAGTCTGCGCTGTGCTGGGGGAGTCCACAATCAGAGGACTGGTGCAAAGGCAACGGGGGTGGGGAGGGGCTGGGAGGGCAGGAAGCGGGGAATTATGAGGCAGAGAGAGGGGTGGAGGGTGGAAATCCTTAATGATGGTCAGACGCCTGGGTGAGAAGCCTGGGGAAGGAGAGTCGGGCTGGGGCGGGGTGGGGGGAGGGTGGATCCCTCACCAGGCCGACCCATGCCGATGCTGTCCAGGTCCTCGGGCCTCACAAAGTCGAAGTGCTCTGGCTGAGTGACATTCAGCTCCTCGAGGATGGGCCGGTAAAACTGGGGGAGCTGGGTGTCCCGGAGCAGCCGCAGCAGCCACAGTGAGCTTGCCTCAGGGAGCATGTCTGGAGAAGGAACCCCCCCGGAAGAGGCTCTCCCCACACAGACCCTCCAATCCCAGAGACGGAGATGCTAGGAACAGAGGAAAGGCCACCTCTGAGTGCCCAGGAATTCTGCCATCCTGCCACTCCCACACAAAACCCCACAGGGAATCCTTCCCACTCCTGAGATCAAGGTCATCCCCCCTTTACCACAGAAACCCAGCCTCCGCACACCTGGGATTTCAGAACTCTATAGATTTCCGGTATATTCCAGATATATTGGAGCGATAGCACAGCGGGTAGGGCGTTTGCCTTGCATGCGGCCAAGCCGGGTTCAATTCCTCTGTCCCTCTCGGAGAGCCCAAAAAGCTACCGAGAGTATCCTGCCCACATAGCAGAGCCTGGCAAGCTCCCTGTGGCGTATTCGATATGCCAAAAACAGTAACAATATGTCTCACAATGGAGACGTTACTGGTGCCCGCTTGAGCAAATCCATGAACAACGGGAGGACAGTGGACAATAGACAGATTTCCGGTATATTGCTCATTCACTTTCCACATGTGTGGCACACTGCTCCCGCACTCCTAGGACCCCCTGGGTACATCGCATTATGCACTCACACTTCACTCACCACTGAATAACATGGTGCAGGGCTAGGGAATGGACACAGTATAGGGGCCCCAGGACGCACAAGCAGCGTGGTGTACTGGGAGTGGCCCCCCCAGCACCTCTGGTGAAGTGCTGCCACCCACCCACCAAATGTAAGGGGTCGGAGATACAATACAAAGGTTTAGAGTCTATAACCTTTATAAAGAGTTTATACGGCAAGCAGCCAACCCTGGATCAACCTGAGCACCACCAGGAGTGATGCCTGAGCACACGGCCAGGAGCAAACCCTGAGCAAAGCCCTAAAAGAAACTGAAAAAAAAAAAAAACAAACTAACAACAAGAAATTTGAGGACAATTTTTTGTTTAAGTTTAGGTCCCCCACGGCTGGCTGGGGGACGGCGAGGACCATGCAGTGCTAGTGATGGAGGAAGTTGGCTCTCCTGCAGGCAAAGCTGGTGCTCCCTCTCTTTGAGTCATCTCCCCGGCCTCCGAGTATAATTTTTGGTGCCTCAAAACTTCATTACAATCATCCTTTTGCCAAAATCCTTAGAAGCTCCCAGACAGTTGTCCCTTCATATGTACAGTTCTGCATCCAGAGAGAAAACCAAACTACAACCTCAGCTGGCTGAATGGATGAATGCAGAACTTCACAGGGGGAAAAATCTGCGTACAAATGGGCCCTCACTCTTCAAAAGTGCAATGTACACCTACCTGAGACACCCCCTCTCTTCAAGCGTAAGACATGTTGGTCCGTCACCTGCCCCTTAGAGCACGCAGAAAAACTACCTACACCAAACCTCAGCCGTGCATATCCTCACATCCACACACGGGGGAGATACCAAACCTCACACATCAAAAACACACAGGCTGGGGGTGGGGGGGATATTATCCATGGTGGTGGAAAATGGGCACTGGTGGAGGGATGGGTATCTGATCATTGTATAATCAAACCCAAGCACAAAAAAGTGTAAATCTACAACTGTACCTCATGGTGTTTCACTAATAAAAAAAAATTAAAAAAAAAACACACAGGCTGAGACACCCAGGTATGTGTCCTCTTAAATCTGAAACATGCCAGGACCTGGAACAAAATACTCCGAGTTCCTGCCACAGGCCTGAACTCACATCCACGCCCCCGGGTCACGTCAATTCACCGCCTCCAAAATAAGCCACCACAGGCCCGGACTGCAGACACACCAGGTCCCAGAGGCTCCACCTGCTGCCCTTCCGCTCTGAGCCCGTCCTCAGCACCCGAGGCAGCAACGTTCCAACACAATCTGACCACTTGCGACCAGCAGTGACCGCAGGCCACCCTAAACTTGGGTGCTGCGGGCAGGGCCACCCAGGTAGCCAGGCGTTCGGTCCACACCCAGTGGAGATCAGCTCCGGGTACAGAGCTCTGCCCACACACCTGAGTCACTGATCCGACTGCGCTTGAAGGCAACTCCCGGATCTTTATTCAAGGAGGCTCCCGGTCTCAGGGTGCTGACTGCCCGCACCGACGCACTCTCCCTTACACCCTCCTGAACACCTTCCCCTCGTCCGCCCTCCCCCCGACCGAGTCCAATCCGGAGGAAGCCGTGGACGCGGCTGGGAGAGGCGGAGCCCAGCAGGCAGAGGCGGGGCGGCGGGGGGCTGGGCTCTGGGGTCCCCCGAAAGGACCGCTCGCTGCTAGGAGACCGGGGACAGCCGGGCGCGGGGCCACCGGCCCGACAGCAGGGGGAAGGCAGGGCCCGTGGCAGGCTCAGCACCACGGCACGCACCCCTGCAAGAGCCCTGCAAGGTATCGCCCCTCACCTGGCGCGGGCTCACCTGGAGGCGGCGGAAGCGGCGGCTGCGGAGCCGCCCGCTGCTGGCGGCGCTAAATCCCGGCGGGGCGGGGCCTGGGCGGGGCCTGGCGGGGCCGGGCGCGGGGCTACGCGTGAGCTTGCCTTTCCCGACCTCGCCTCACGCAGTCTCGTAGTCTTCCCTGAGTACCTTCCACCTCTTTCCGCAATTCCTCCTTCCACCTACCCCTCACACCAGTCTTTCTCCTCTCTCAACCGGAGCTCATCTCCTATTGAACAAACTCCTTATAGTCCAGGGCCTGCAAGATATCGAACCCGTGTCTGCAAGGCCCTACCCGCCCTTCACCCTGAGAGGTACTCATGCTGATGCAGAAATTTAGGCCCCAGCTAGACAGTCTAAAATGGAACCCCCCTGGGGCTGGAGCAATAGCACAGGACGTTTGCCTTGCACGCAGCCGACCCGGGTTCGATTCCCAGCATCCCATCTGGCCCCCTGAGCACCGCAGGGTAATTCCTGAGTGCAAAGCCAGGAGTGACTGAGCATCAAGCATCGCCGGGTGTGACCCCCCAAAAAAATATTTAAAATTAAGTTTCAGGCTTACAATGCTCTAACACAAAACCCTCACCAGTGTCCACTGCCCTCCACCAATGTCTCCAGCTTCCCTCCTAACCCACCCCTCTATGACAGGCACTCTTCCCCTGCATCCCCCCTTTCAGGCGTTGTGGTTTGCAATACTGTTCCTGACAGCGTATCTGAGTATCATTTTTCCCTCCTTTCAGCACCTACTCCTGGTCCAGAGTGACCACTTCCCTCTATCACTGTAATAGTGGTCCCTTCCCTGACTATCCCACCTCCCTCACTTTGTCAAAAATAAGACCCACACCCACAGTGCTTGGGGACCTGGGGCTAGGGTTCAAGCCTGACAGTTTAGTGGTCGGATTCAGCACTGATGTTCTCTATATCTTATTTTATATTTTACTTTATTTGGTTTTAGAGCCACACTCAGCGATGCTCAGGGCTTCCTCCTAACTCTGCACTCAGGGATCTGCAAACTGATGGGCTCTGGGGAACACAGGGGATGCCGGGAATTGAAGCCGGGTCAGTTATGATTGAACACAAGTCCTGAGCCAGGAGTAATCAGGACTGAACCCAACCCGCTGTACTATTGCTCTGGCCCCTGATATGTTTTGTTTTTTGCTTTGGGACCACTCCTGCCAGGGCTGTGGTGGAGATGGAGAATTTCCTGTCAGAGGTTCTAGGAGACGCGCAGTGTTGGCATCAAATCCAGGCCTCTGGGAGCAAAGCAGGCTCTTATCTGTGGAGCTCTGTCTTCACCACTTGTCTTGAACTCAGAAAAAATATATAGGGAATTAGGGGCTTTATTATTCCTATTCACCCTGTTTATTTCTCTAGGGGGGGGGGGGGCGGGGAGGCCTGTCTTTTGTGTGTTTGTTTACTGGACCACACCTGGCGATGCTCAGGACTTCCTCCTAACTCTGCACTCAGGGATCACTCCTGGCAGGTTTGGGGAGGGGGAGTCATCTGGGGTGCTGAGGATCAAACCCAGGTTAGCTGCTTAAAAGGCTCTCCACACTGTACTATTGCTCCGGTCCTGTTTTTGTTTTATATTTGTTTTTTGGACCACGCCTGGCAATGCTCCAGGGTCACTTCCATTGGTGTTCTGGGTACCTGGGATCAAAACTGGCCTCCTGGATGCAAAGCTTGCACTCAGCCCTTTGAGCCATCTCCTGAGCCCCATTCCCTGTTCACTTTTTGTTTGGGGCGGCAGGGGTTTGAGTCACACCTGGGCAATGCTCACAGGTCACTCCTGGCTCTGCACTCAGGAATTACTCCTGACTGTGCTCAGGAGACCATATGGGATGCGGGGATAGAACCTGGGTCAGCTGTGATCCAGGCAAACATTCTAAAAGCTGTACTATGACTCTAGGCCCCTGTTTACTTTTTATTTTGGTGTTAATCTTTCTCATCCCCTCCATTTCCCATAAAGGGTGGAGTATGGGGTCTAAGTATGAGTGCAGAGGATTAGGGTACATTCTAAGCCTGTGCAGAATCTGGGTTCAGTTCAGGGCCCCCCATGGTCCTCCAACATTGCTGGATGCAGCCCTAGAGGCCCCAAACACTGCCTGGGCAACCTGAGGAGGATCATCTCGTAGACCCTTGCATTGAACCACTGGCCCCAGAGGCTGAGAATCACTGGTGGGGCCTCTGAACCCCCTGGACACCTCTTGGGAGACCCCGCCTCCCCAAAAAATGTGATGTCTTGGGTCAGTGGAGATAGCTTAGAGGATTAAAGCATATGCCACGCATGCCAGAGCCCCCAGGTTAGATCCCAAGAACTGTACATCCCCCATTGTAAGCACCACTGGGATCTACTCCTGAGCACCCCTGGATGTGTCCACAAAATAAGTCCCCCAAAAATGAGCTATGGGAGAACACAACATGACCATCCTAACCAAACCCACAGGGCAGCTCCTGCTCCAGGCTGAGATGGGGCTCTCTGACAGGCACTGCTTTTCCACCTGTCCCACCCAGCCTCTGCCTTGCCCCACAGGATCTGCATCCCACAGTGATGAGCACATTGACACCACCAAGGCCAAGTCTTTCCTCACAGGGAAGAGAACCAGA